CTACTACTACTACTACTACTACTACTACTACTACTACTACTACTACTACTACTACTACTACTACTACTACTACTACTACTACTACTACTACTACTACTACTACTACTACTACTACTACTACTACTACTACTACTACTACTACTACTACTACTACTACTACTACTACTACTACTACTACTACTACTACTACTACTACTACTACTACTACTACTACTACTACTACTACTACTACTACTACTACTACTACTACTACTACTACTACTACTACTACTACTACTACTACTACTACTACTACTACTACTACTACTACTACTACTACTACTACTACTACTACTACTACTACTACTACTACTACTACTACTACTACTACTACTACTACTACTACTACTACTACTACTACTACTACTACTACTACTACTACTACTACTACTACTACTACTACTACTACTACTACTACTACTACTACTACTACTACTACTACTACTACTACTACTACTACTACTACTACTACTACTACTACTACTACTACTACTACTACTACTACTACTACTACTACTACTACTACTACTACTACTACTACTACTACTACTACTACTACTACTACTACTACTACTACTACTACTACTACTACTACTACTACTACTACTACTACTACTACTACTACTACTACTACTACTACTACTACTACTACTACTACTACTACTACTACTACTACTACTACTACTACTACTACTACTACTACTACTACTACTACTACTACTACTACTACTACTACTACTACTACTACTACTACTACTACTACTACTACTACTACTACTACTACTACTACTACTACTACTACTACTACTACTACTACTACTACTACTACTACTACTACTACTACTACTACTACTACTACTACTACTACTACTACTACTACTACTACTACTACTACTACTACTACTACTACTACTACTACTACTACTACTACTACTACTACTACTACTACTACTACTACTACTACTACTACTACTACTACTACTACTACTACTACTACTACTACTACTACTACTACTACTACTACTACTACTACTACTACTACTACTACTACTACTACTACTACTACTACTACTACTACTACTACTACTACTACTACTACTACTACTACTACTACTACTACCTCCTAACCCCCCCCATCCCATCTCAATCCACCCTACCTATACTACCCACCACCTCAAAACATAACGTATGAACACAAAAACCCCCATACACTACCAAAAAAACTAACTAAAGCAAAAGCATACCAAATAATACAAACAACATGCCAAAGACACAAAATAAGAAACACCCTAAAGACCACTTAGATTTGAGATATCAAACTTAGACTAAAAACACAACTTAACAATTACGGAATGAAGTATATAAAAAAAAAAAAAACTATAAAAAAATCAACCAATATTAAAATCTGATATGTAATTTGAATAAAAGCAAGAGGATACGGATAATGGTTAAATTATAATTTTAATTACATACATGAAAATAAAACAGTAACGTAAGAAGAGATCCATAGTTAAAATAATAACAATGGATACAACGGGTTTGATAAGAATTAGTTTGACTAAATTAACTGTAAAATAAGGAATAAGAGCTTAATGGTGAAAAATGCTTGACTTTCGACTGTTTAATTGTAGGCTAGAATATGAATCCACTCAGGTTTTGGATACTTTGTAATAACATTGACCATAATCGAAAAAAATTCAGTTCAAAATCAATTCTACAAATGGAAACTTATAGATGATATATCATGGGCAAATAGCTTAGAGTTTCGGTTTTAAAAAAATATCTGAGAACAATTTTTCAGGGCCACTAAACACAATATTAAAAAAAAACTCTAAACAACACCCAAAAAATTATATGGAAAATAGGTCCCACACTTCTTTAGGATTTTAATTAATCCATTTTGTTATATTATCTAGAGAAGTCTTATCACAATAAAAACTAGAAATCTTTCTAGACCATTAAACCAATGATAACAACACTAATACAAGCGTAATTAAAGAAGAAGTCCATTTGCTATCCACAATACATAGATAAAGACCAAATGAACAAAATTGAAACCCCCTAATTAGGCACAAAGTTTACACAAAAAAATGACTTTACACCATGTTACTGTGTGATATTATAAAATATCTTGAGACAGAGCAGACCACGCACAATGGTGCCGCAGACCTTGGAAGACACACCGGATAGAATATTTTATGTGGCAACCATACTCATCACACCTAACACCGTTACCTCACCCTCATAACACCAGACGATAATCCCCAACTATAGAATCAACAAAACTCAAAATGGTTGAGATCGACAACAACTCTAAGCATAAAATCTCCAGCCAAAACAACAGTATAACACACACGAACCCCTATGAAAAAGTACCATTAAAACAGTATACTATGTGTACCATCCAATACATACCATATCATAAAATATAACATATGTAGGTACCTTCAACACAGCCCGACCCCGAACAACGCCGAAAGCAACCCCCTGCCCCACACCCAATGTCTTCCCCCACCCCAGATAAAACAACCTACCACGCCACGCCAAACAACTCAACTCACACTCCTAAACCCAACAGTCCTACCCAACTCATCTAACAAGCTACCCATTCCCGCACGACCACCCAGCTCACCCAGGGCGTCCCCAGCGCCCCTACGTAATAAAGTGAGTTAACAAAAATATTGTGTCACCCCCCCACCCCCGAGCTCCACCCCTCAACCCGCCCACCCCACGTACGCACAAAAAACTCACGCCCAGACCCAAACGCCACATCGTCACTGGTAAACCCAGACCCCATACTGACCAAGAGCTGAACCGTGCCTCCACCGAGAAAAAAGAGTGACACCTTTCACCAAATTCCTCCCCACACGAAATTGAGCGACACTTCCATCATTATCTTCAGTGAGTTACTATCTTACAACAGACCCGGTTCAACTCCACTGGTCACGGCTTCTCACTAGAACTCCAGGAAATACCTCTTGAAGCCAGTCACTAGTGAGTATGTGTTGATTAATATCAGATGGGTTTTGTGAATATTATGGTAAAACCATTGGATGCTGGCTCAGTGGTCTGGGGGTTAGGCGTTTACGCGCGGCTGATATGTCCTGGGTTCGAGTCTCGTGAGATGGGATCGTGGATGTGCACGATTGAGGAGTCACACGATAGAACAAAACGACCGTCCAGTGCTTCCAGGTTTTTTATTGTGGTCTAGCTTCAATTGACTCATGATCTCAACTATTAAAATTACTACAATACCCACAAAAAACCCATTCTTACGCTAATTCATTATAATCATTTAAGAAACCTGATTTATGTCTAATTTAAAGGCAAAATTTTAATTAAGAATAGTTTTGGTTAAATTAAAACTTAACAATCTATATAACCCCCTCCTATACTGATAGATTTAATTAATTAAACAAAAATGTCTTGGAAACAAAAAAACAACAAGCTGTTTATTATGATTAAAAGCGTTGGAAAAATTCAATATATATAAGGCATACAGACAAAAATTTGATCATTAATTAGTTGCTTATTGTTTCTGAGACAATTGACCGCTCTGATAGTTACAAACAAAAACAAAAAAAAACTGAAGGTTGACATAATTCATTAAAATCCTAACCAATCACGATAGAGATCATACACAAACAGCCGACTCACAAAAACGGTAGTCAAAAATATTTATAATCCCATGACTACAAAGTGTATATTTTTTTCTCTTTCTGAAATTAAGCTTAAAAATCAACTATATACAATTTAGAGATTGACTTTATGACAAACTATTAAATTGAAGGTTCCAAAACTTACTTCATCTACTTTAATTTGGTCAATCGATTAGTAGCGTGAATAATAACACAGTTTAATTGTGTAACTTGAAGCTCATTATACAAATATGTAGATGGTAAAAGGGTTAAAGCATTATTTTTTTATATTTTAATTTTACTGGAAGGCAGTTTATGCCAGCTGGAGTAACTATTAAAAAGTCATGGAGCACTGAATAGTTGCTGTATCATATTTTCAAATTCTGACAGGTTAAGTGAATTTAATAATATTTTATGCCTGAGCTCAAGCGACATCACAAACTCAAAAACTGTAGGTTAAAAGTTGTAAATGGGGAACGCTACCGAGATAAGTCGATTATACACCTAGTCATGTTTTCAGCTTACATGTCATTGAATAAGCAGTAAAGACATGTACGTGTATCACCACAGTTTGTGCACATCATAATTTATTTTAATAACTAAATCCTCTTACTTATTGAATCTTCTTATCTGAATTGTGGGATCGATATTACCGTATGGAGAGTTGAATAGTAGAAAACAACAGATTCATTTGTGAACTTGAATGATTCTACAGTCAGTTTTAGTTCAGGTTGAAAGCTAAATTCAAACCGAACAAATTTCAGAAGTCCCTAATGATTAAACAAATCTGATAATTTTTCCTCGAATTTTAAGCTGATGTATTCATATTCAAAATACTTCTTACAGTTGATTCTAAACCATACTATTTACTCATTATTTTGTAATCAACACAATGGTTGTTTACTCCTCCAATGTGTTCACTGAACTCTACAGACCAAGTTGAAATATAGTCACTAATCTACATGATTAGACATCTCGTACATTATATCTTGCTGTCAAATCCCAATCATTACGAACTCGTGATTAACTAATGCTTAATAATAGTTGCAACTCTTTAACAAAGCACGTCTGAAATCCAGAAGGAGCTGATTTGTCCATGCAATTTTAACCAAAGTCAAGCGACATCAGAAAAGTTAGCACTCAGCGATGTAAGTCCGAATACCATAGGGAGCATTAATGTCATCAACACTGTGAATGCCATTTGACGACTAGTACGAAGCGTCTTCCAAGTATGACTTCCTATCAATTATCTCCAACCACTTAATATTAAATTAAACAGACTTAACATTATCTAAGTAACTAACAAACATAAATTTGATTCACCAGTGGAAGGTCCAATATCCATCGAATTTTGATAGGGGTTTTCTCCAATCGATTTTTCAAACTGGATAGCGTCTTTATTATGAGCAACTTGAAAATCAGTTGCTTCACGTGAATCACTGAGTTTCGTGTTATTTTCTGACTCTTCCGGTATTCGAGATAAAGAAGCATTCGATAGGACATTAGAGTTCGTTATGACTGAATCATACAAACATGAATTAAATTGTTCATTAGAAGATATTTCAGAAGTAGAGGAAGAAACTGTATCATTATCAATGGAAAATTCTGAAATTGGATTGAAAGATGACATTTCCTCTTGAAAATTTGGTGAATTTTTCCCACTTATTTCCATCTTATTTTCTGACTTGTTCAATAATACTACACGATTACTGACAAAATCTTCAGTTTCATCACGCCTATCATCTAGTATAACTGATGAAAGTGAAGTTGACTCTTGAACATCAACTGAACTGCCTAATTCTTTCACTTCTTCCTCACTAGTTGTTTTCACTGGTGTACGCCGAGGATGATGACGATTACTGTTATAACTGTTACGTCGATCATGTAACTTCAATTCACCACGTTGTGAACCAACACGATTAAAATGTATTGGACTAGGTAGAATATATGTGGAAATTTCAACAGTAACAGGCTTATGATCAGTTTCATAGAAATTTTTATTAACATCATCATCAACATTATTATAGGGTTTACCTTGGCTTGATAACTCTTTACTTGAATCACTGACATGAGTATTGATTGTTCTGTTGGTGTATTTATGCATAATATCAACTTTATCATGATTTGTCACTCCCATTTTAGATGAATCGCCTAAAATAGAACTATTCAATGAATCTGATTTGCCTAATGCTTCAGGTCTTGAACGTTCACGACGACCACTACGCCGATCAACCAATATAATATTACTTCTCTGAGATCCCACACGACTGAATATAACACTGCCGTCAGTCTCCTCAACAGATGTATTGGTTTTTGGAGTAATATTAATAACTTTGTTAGTTGGTTCATTCATTGATGAAACTGATGACATGTTGGAAGACAAGAAAAGTGAGGGCCGAATGGAAGAAAATATAAAAAACATGAAAAGAAATGCATAAAGACAATGTTATTAAATAAGTAGTTATGAAAACGAGTTAAATTGTACGCGTAATATACATAGTCTGTCCAATAAACACGCAAACTGAGATTAAAGAAACTTAAATTTATTAACTTTGGACTACACTCATATTCATTCTCCTTCAAAACGGTCCTCAGTTGTACAGAAACAAATACTTCGTCTCCGTTTTCTATGTCCCAAAACATTTATGGAATTCCTTAGAAATCAGGCTCTTTAGCTACCTGGTCGTTTTGGGTTGCATCATTTTCGCATCGTAACAGTGCTGCCTGAGAATGATTACTTTTCATTTCCGAACCAAAAATATCACCAGGGGATAGGTCTAATGAGTAGGAATGGTGATCTAAAGTGATTATCGGATTACAGATAAAAAAGAATTAGTGTATAATCACTGTTGAATATACAAGTGTATTGTCACGATGTAACAAACATTCATCAGTATCATATAAATGATGTTGAATCTTTTAACAGAACTATCTTCGTCTTTCATCTTCTACTTTCTGTTCGTTCACACAAGGTTAGATACAACACTAATGGTCAACTGTTGAATTATGTACATCATAAACAATCCTAATAATTCAGTTCACGCATTTATTAGGCAAACCATGCATGAGATATATATGAGATGATTATTTATAAATGGATTAATAAAAAGTATGAAAAATGAAGTTAGATTCATGTACTGTTTTGTATGTGTGAATTCACAAAATGAATGGTGAAAATAATGATGTTGGTTATATTGATAAATGATAATTCATACTTAAGCCAAAAAATCAGACACAAATAATATTGATGAAAATAATATCAGAGTTTTATCACAAATTGATATGATGGTAGATCATTAATAAATTTATTGATATCAATGTTCAGAAGCAATGTAAACAAGAAGTTTAAACGGAAGAGTTAACAAATCTACATAATATGGAGGAGAAGAAGAAGAAGAAGAAGAAAGTAATGCAACTGATAAATAGTAATGCTTTTGTCAAAGTCAGATATCCTGACATAATGCTACAAGATAATGTCATCAATGGTGGAGATCACTTGGGTGGGGGGGGAGGAACCCCTTAATTTCTGACTAATCTTTAACATTTATGTTATGAACACAGACAAATCTGGATTATATAGTGTCCAGTGGATTGATATTGGTTGTGAATACACAACGTTACTAGTCAGTAATTCTTATTCAATATTACTTTCATTATCTGACTAATATTGACTTTATATGCATGTTATTTTCTTGATTATTTTCTCTTACTGTGTTAATTTTATGTGTCGATTTACTTAAGGGCCAGGTTCTATGTTATCTATAGATGACTGGCTGGGTGGATGACTTTATTATTGAACCAATAAACATCGTAGCTATCTTGATGATTACAGTAACTTATAGCAATTTCTAAAATTGTTTTCTTTTATAAACTGCATATTTGTATATAATTTGCATTGCTTAAAATGACTTAGACAAACAGTCAATAGATTCCATACATTAGTGTTACATTTTAGCATGCTATCCCTTAGTTATTTAACAACTTACTTCAAAACAAACAAAGATGGAAGGTGGCTGGCTAGCAGTGGAACCCAGGACGTGCGTTTCGTCCCATTTTGGACTTCTCTGCGCTAGCCAGTAATATACCTCTAGAACAGTAATTAAAGCTTTACAATTAGAATTTTGTTCAGAAAACTTATCACCTTAAAGAATGCAACATGAACAAAGTCTTCACCTGAAAACTTTTATATATACATTTTTTCTCTAAATTATTTACTATTATCAAAAAGGGGGTTTTGTGAAGATTTTAGTAATTTAATCGTTGAATTCATCAGTCAATTAAAGCGGGATCATGGATGCGCACTACTAAGAAGTCCCATACTAGAACAAAACGGTCGTTCCAGATTTTTCATGGTGGTCAAACTTTAATCGACTCATGAATTCAACTATTTAGTATTCCAATGGTTAAGATCATGAGTCATTTGAAGCTAGACCAACATGGAAAACCTGGAAGCACTGGACGGCCGTTTCGTCCTATTGTGAGACTCCTCAACGGTGCGCATCCACGACCTCGCCCCCTGCGAGACTCGAACCCAGGACCTATCGGTCTCCCGCGATCACTTAACAATTAGACGATTGAGATGGCATCCAAAGGTGTTAATGTCTAACTTCAACTATTCACATCCACCATTATCTTCAGTGAGTTATTATCTCACAACAGACTAGATTCAACTCCACTGGTCACTACTTCTCACTCGAACTCCAAGATATACCTCGTGAAGCCAGTCACTAGTGAGCATATGTTAATTAACATCAGAAGGGGTTTTCGTGGATATTATAGTAATTTCAATGGTTAAGATCATGAGTCAGTTGAAGCTCGAATCTCGCAGGGGGCGAGGTCGTGTATGCGCACTGCTGAGGAGTCCCACAATAGGATGAAACGGCCGCCCAGTGCTTCTAGGTTTTCCAATTAAAGTAGCTTCAACTTACTTATGATCTTAACCATTGAAATTACTTTTAATATCCAAAAAACCCATCTGTTATTTAATATTACTCAAAAGAACCAGGTAAAGAAGGAGAAATCGATAATAAATCAACAATATTTCAACTTACTAATATGACCTTAGAAATTTATATGATTTCACAATAAAATCTCTTGTATTTAATCATAAAAACTCGTTAAAATATCTCTTTAATGCATATTAACAATGGTAATCGATAGTTATTTGTTTATTGTAAAAGATGGTTGAAGTCGGTGATAATGTTGGATACCTTTCTTCCACCAAACATATATATATATGTTTTAACCAATCACTTTGGTTTTATGAGCAGTGAGAAAATACTAGATCTTATTTATTGAATATGCATAAGTGATTTTGCATAAAAACGTCTACTTTATTTTAAACTATATACAAGTTATAGAATAGTGATAATCAACTAACAAAGATATAAATTTGCATAGTGCTTGTTGATAAGGAAACAAACAAGTAAATAGATACACATATATACAACTACAAGTGAGAAGTTGACATTGGAAATATTGTGTATGTGAGAGTCAGTTATGCATGAGTTCTTGTATTTATTGTTGGTCGAGACTTTCTAAGCGACTACAACAAACGAAGCGTAATTAATGAATTGACTACCGAAGTTAAACATTGCGACAGATTGTGTTGAACGATGGATATGCAATAGTCAAAAGCTGAGTAGTTTATCTGTGTTAATTTCCTGAGACATCCATCAAACTATTTATGAATTAAACTGAATAAAACAGATGCTTCCTGTAATAGAAAAATATCGTATGACTCAACCCAGTAATGTTTTGGATTTTTGAAACCTCCAAAAAATCGGCTGCTTACTTACTTGATACTTCGTTGTTTTCTTTTTGTAAACTTAAATTTATCGCTTATTCTCGTTAAAATTCCCTAATCAAGGTATCCTCACTTCTACTTGACGTTTAAGCTGATGATGTTATTCAGAAGAATAAAGAAGACTTCACGACCAATGTGTTCAGCTCAGAAAACGAAACTCCAACAAAAGACATCTTTCATTTTTATCACTATCAGTCATATTGTTTACCTATTGATTTATTGTTCGATTAATATGATAACTAATAGCTCCATATTTACTTCACCCCTTTTGAATAGATGTTATAGTGGAGGACGTTTAATATGATTATCAAGACTGAGGAGCTGCACTCATATGACAAGTTCCAAGTAAGACAAAACGCTCAACTCGGATTCTACTGATAGTTAAAGTCCACAAATTCTGTAAAACATATCTATAGGCAGGATAGTGGTAACTGTTCAGTATGCATATTAACCAACACAAACTGATCGAATCTAGCCTTCAATAATAGCAACGGAATAATAATGTCATGTTATTATTAATCTAATCACTAACCTGTGAGTTAAACTCAATCATGGATACATGAAAATTTATAGTGAATTCAATTTAAACATTTTAAATTCTATGAAAGTGACTATAGTTCAAGCATTATTGTAATTTATGCTAGAATAGTTTTTGCAACTTCTGAAAAACCTAAGCAGGCTATAAGTTATAATATTTATAGACGATATTTCTAACAGATAGACGACAGCTGAAGTACCAAACGACACTAAGTAATGTTGTTAGTTGTATCATGGGAATAGCAATCCAATGGCTTAGTGATCAACGACTTGATAGAAGACCTGAAGTTCGTGGTTTCGACCCCTAGAGAGATCTTGGGTTCCCATTTTAAAGGAGTTGTATACTGGAAAAAATCTATTCTAGGGTATCTTACTTTTTAGAAAAGTTGATATTACAAAACAACCGTTTAATACTTCCTAGTTTTTAATAACTTTTCCAATGATGTCATTCGTTTAATGTTAGGAAAATCTACATAAGTCATTGAAAACAACATTTGTTTTGTTTCCATTTTCTAAAATTCATACTTTGAAAAGATGATATTTACCATGACAATTATTACAAAGAACATAAATGACTCAAGATAACGTTAATTATATACCCATAATTACAGTGGGAAAAAATACCAAGAAAGAATAATTTTTTCCCATGCATCTATATCGATTGAAGAACAATGAACAATTAAGGATGATGTATATTTTTGTTCTATCCAACTTTGGCGAGTATTATTGTCAGAAGGGGTTTTTGTGGATATTGTAGTAATTTTAATAGTTGAGATCATGAGTCAATCAAACCTAGACCACAATAAAGAACCTGGAAGCACTGGATGATCGTTTTGTCCTATTGTGGAACTCCTCAACAGTACACATCCACGATCTGACCTCACGAGATTCGAACCCAGAGCTTATCAGTCCCTCACATGAGCGCTTAACCTCTAGATCACTGAGCCGGTCGGCATCCAATGGTGTTAATGTCTAACTTCAACCAATCCACGAAATTGAGCGACACATCTACCATTGTCATCGGTGGATTACTATTTCACGACAGACCCGGTTCAACATTACTGATCACTGCTTCTCTCTAGAACTCCAGGAAATACCTCATGAAGCCAGTCACTAGTGAGTATATGCTAATTAATATAAGAAGAGGTTTTTGTGGATATAATATTAATTCTAATAGTTGCAATCATGAATCAATTGAAGCTAGACCATGAATACTTTATGAGTACCTTTATATCTTCGAAATGAATAACATAAAACTTTAAACAAACAACTAGTATTTCCAATGAATTACTTATAACTAACATGATATACTAGAGAATATACCAGATTTCAAATTCTTATTCTGAATATATTATATTTATATGAAACACTATAAAAAACGAACGGAAAAATGCTGATTTAGTTAATCGACGTAATTGCCTAATCAACAAATAAACACCGTAATTTGAATGTTCATTAATCAATTAAGTCAATAAACTTATCTCAATTAAATCCACCTTTGAACGGATCACGTTTTTATTTATTTATTATTAACATCAAATTAACTTAAAATTTCCTGATAGTTATAAAAAAGACAGTATCAAAAGCTGTATACTTATCAGTATTGATGTATATATGAATAATTGTAACCATTCAGAATCGAATTAATCTTCCATTTATAGATTATTCGGTGAAAGCTAATCTTGTAACCATTTTCTTTCAACTCATTTATCAAGTACAAGTCAATACCTTCGGCTATGAGTCACATTCTTTTGTAAGGACTGATGATATCAACCTTCGTGTTTAGACCAATGTCAGAGTAGCGGGATTTGAACTTGTATCTTAGTTCCAAATTTAGCTAACCATCACCATATTGCACTGTAAGCACTTAAATTATGACCATTAAATTTGAAAGTTTAAACACAGTTCTGTTTACCTTAAGTTTCGGTAGTCAAGTGTTATCACCAGCTTTATATAAAATGTAAAGCTTAGAGTCGATTATACGAATATGCATTGCGATGCATTAAGTTGTAATCAGTTATATACAGAAATTCATAAAGAGGGTTTATTTATTCTGCTGGTGATATTATTTGATCGAACATTTTCCAGGCCAACATAGTGAACCAAAGGATTATATCTATATCTGCCTATAACTCATTGAAATCTAGATTAATTGTTCTGGATAAATTCACCTGAAAAAGTGTTATGTCAATCGTAGTTTTTCGAATTCGATGATATTCCCTTCTCTACAATTTTTAAAAAAATACCAATCACATTCACTTTCACAGTAGTTTATCCACCAGTATTAACTAATGCTAGGTTTGTCTCGTTAGGAGTTACTTATGTTATTGGTTACCTCTAGGAAGGATCTAAAGATAACCTACATCACAAACTGATTTCAGCTAAAGAATCAATAAGAACTGAGAAACGTTCAACTGCTATTTCATTCTGCTTAATGGTGCGTACCATCGATTGTACATGAGATCAAAACCAGGTCTTCTAGTTTTCATGTCATTGATGATACATTTTTACTACTGCTTCGACATCTGTAAGTTCATACTTTTAGCTTCAATGAATTCATTGAAGGGTTTTACACTAAGATGAAATAGTCTCCTTATGTTATATTCAACTATATTTATCCAAAATATACTTACCAGCTAAGCTACTTCTAGGTGATTGGATTAAATTTACGTCCGAATGAAGGTAGGTAAACTCCTGGTTACAAAGAACGCGTCCAAATTCCACACTATCAATATAAATAGAATAACGTCCAGGCTGTAACGAAGGCATATGGATACGTAACTGCGATAGATCAGATTGACTTGACTCATCCAAAAACCAATCATCTTTAGAAACTGGATGGTCACCAACAAAAACGGTAGATCGCTTCATTATTTCAGTCGTGAGGAAACGGCAATAAATTGTTAACTCAGTACCACCTAGGAAATAGAAAGCAAATTACAACAGTTTTTTATTAGAAATAAATCACTTCATGAAAAACACATTCAAGAGAGATCAAAGAGACTAGCGAAGTTAGAACGCCTAAAAACAGTACATTAACATACGTTGTCACACATTTAGACAGGATAGACAGTAAAAGTCAGAAAAAATTATAAACTCAAGGTCAGATCAACAAACAATTAATTGTTACTTGTCTCATCTTTATTTGAGTATATTAAAGGTATACCTAATTCAGTCGAAATTTAACAGCGAGATATGTAGTAAGTGCGTATGTATGATACACGTTTTAATACTCTGAACCCATCTTATCGATTTTCTTAAGTAAAATCCTTTTTCTAATTTAAAGTGACTTCAGAATTGTTCGCACTCTTTTAGTCTTGGCATATTATCCATCTTAAGGAGTCATATATTACAATTGTGAAAGAGAAACATTACAAACTACTTAATTATACCTAATCCGAAGGTTACACACGAAATTGAAATCTATTTGAAGACAAGATAACCATCAAGCTGTGCTAATGTAGTTTGGTAACTTGGATGGATATATTTATGTGTTACAATTGATTGTTCACTGGGCGGTGATCAATGTCATGTATGTTAGGTCCTTCTTAGTTCGAATCGAATTCTATCGACCAAGTTGTAATGTGGGTGACACATGATCGAATCCGTCAGGAAGCATCAGTTCCCTCAAGATTACAGGTATATCTTGCTGACGAGTGCCAAGTAGCACAAAACCTAGGTCTAGGGTTTCCTGTTGATTACCTCCAACTACCATCTTATTTATGTGTTACATTCTACATTTTTTTACAATTAACTGACTAGTGTCAAATGGACAACGTATCAAACTATTCCATTTTCTTAGTATGAGAATCAACTAATTAGTGAGATGTATCAAGTTTATTTATTATAGTAGGTCATTATTATGGTTTCAATAACTTTGACTGCAAACTATTTCTGTAACGTTACTACTATTATTAGTGGCTTTATTCAATATTATATTTTTGGTATAATATAGGATTCTCAGTACAAAATAGTTCAACAAGTTTCCTTTTCTTATTTCTTGATCAATCCTGGAGATAAATATTTAATGGTCGCCACCTAGATATTAGCAATTATGTAATCGACATATGAATAATGCACATTCTTTTCAATGCATATTGTCAGCCACCATGATGTCCCTGACTGTACTTTTTTATAACCTGTACAGCGAAACATCATAAACTTTCCACAGACACGCTTGAATAGATTATGGGCTTAATAGACACAATGATGTGCTAATGCAAACAAAAGTAGATAGCTTGTTGAAATAGCTAGATGGCAGAAACAGGTAACCCAGTTATTCAAACAAGCTGACTTGTTGAAAGTTGTATCATTGATTTTTGTTTCTCAAAATATACTATTCCAAATAATGATCATATATTTACAGAATACAATGAATTCATTACATTTCATGAATGGTTTCTCTACACTTACATACAAGCTAATTTAATTAAATTGAATTATTTCCAATTTTCAATATCATTTTGAATTTGAAAAATAGATTATCATTCATTTCGATGGAGTTTTGTTCTCTGAGCTAGATGGTTTGGTTCATTTAGCTTAGAGAATAAAACTCCATCAAAATCATCCATCTTAGCTACAAATCTTCCCCACCATCTTAGTGATTATCATTCAATAATCAATAAGTTTCATACATCTTGATCTTTTGATAATTTTTTTTATATCAAAACTAGAATAATAAAATTTGTAGAATAATATAATTTCATTTTAGTTCAAGATTTCTCATTAGATACTATGATAATAGTTCATTTGTAAACAATTTGTTGTTTGTTTTATTTTGAGGGGGGGGGGTTATTCACCAACTCTTTATTATTATTTATAAGTCTAACCCTTTCTTGTTATGACCTCATCTTTAACAAACAAATACTAATCAGTTTTAACAATTATGTTAAATATGCTGTTTGTTCTCTGTATTTCCTAGGTTGTTTCTAATTAAACTTCATTAATTACAATGTTTAAAAAGATTTTATGATAATAATATTATCAGATTGAAGATTTATGGAGATTGAAGTATGTTTAAAGTTGAATTCATGAGTTGATTTTCACAAATCCTCATTCTGCTCACTAGTGACTAACTTCAATATGGATATCCTTGACTTCCGGTGAGAATCCATAACCAATGGAGTCCAATCTGTGTCTGGTGTGAGACAGTTATTCACCTCAGATAATGGATGGAGCGTTGCACATAACCATAGATTGATACAAGTTAGATATTAACACTGTTGGATGCCAGCTCAGTGGTCTAGAGGTCAAGTGTTTGCGCGCGAGACTGAAGGTCTTGGGATCGAATCCCGTGTGAGGGATAGTGGATGGGCACGGCTGAGAAGTCCCTTTCTAAGACGAGACACCAGTCCAGTATTTCCAAGTTTTCAATGGTAGTCTAGCTTTACTTGAATCATGAATTCAACGTTAGATAATATTACAAACGTAGGTTTATGACGTTCGCAGTTGATTAGGAGCCTTAAACTACAATGAATTCATGTTATTCTGTAAATCTTGTTTCCATCATCTTATTTAAATGAATAAGTTGTTTGAGATTTAGGTGAAGTTAGAAACTACACTTTTAAAAAGGTTTTTATAACTGCTTAGGGTGATAGTTCTGGAATATTTAAAGTAATTTCATAACATAATCGTAATAAAAAAAATCTATTGAGGTTTTGAAAAAAAGACAGATATATGGGCTAAAATCACTAAATTATGATTATTATTTATCAAAGAACAAAAAGGGTGATGTGAACCAGATGCTTAAAATTATAGTCAGTTTGCTTCATAGAGAATAGGATTTCAATGGTTTAAGTATTTATGGATCATTTATTGAAATTACAGGTTCGTGTACATTAAATTAACCTTCAAACTCCTAAGGTAGTTCTTTATCACAGACTTACATCAACTAAGGAATCATTAAAAAATGTGAAACAATAAATAACTGTTTTGTTCTAGTTTAAGACTGTATGATACATTGCCTGGGTTTAAACCAAACACAATAAGGTTTCATAATAAGTACATTGTCCTTAAATCACTCAATCGGGACCCAGTATTTGGCATTCTAAGCTTCAATTAATTAACGATATAGCCTAACTATCATTTAGTGTCATCTGGTAGGTAAATAAAGACATGAAATCAATCCATGAAGTCATTGACTGCTGATCTGTTATATATTGGTAAGTGCAAACTTGCTGGTTAAGATCCACGGAGTACTCGTAGTCAATGGTTTAAGAAGTGGGGTGAGAAAGAACAAATGGATTGTTGTTGTTCAAATGCAGATATTCTCTTCTTTCCTTTAAACAGTGAGTATCGTTCCTGACTCTTCATTCTTTGATCTCATTTCTTTCTTTTGAACTGCATCTTATGTATTTAAATCTCTGTTACAACTACAGTTAGTTCCTTTTTTTTGCTTCTCATCATATTGGTTTCTTCTCTTATTATATTGATTTAACTTGTGGTGTATTGGACTGACATATTTGTTTTCTACGTTAACAATCACTTACTTACTGGCTGACTCTATTGGCGGTAAGAGCTTCACATGAGATTATCGGGAAATCAATCCCGTAACCCATCGTTAATAAGTACACAGCTATAATTCATTTAGGTTAGTTCAATTCTATGAGTTTTGTCATATACTCAGAGGTCAACAATGTCATTACATAATTCTATAGCAAAGTTGCACTACTTTAATAATTTACAGTCATTTGGTCGTTTAAATACATACAGTACTACCCTGTAGTCAAAGAAGAATCAAGATAATCACTGAAATATATTACCGAACCTGTTTTTTTAATACATCCTTATCAAATTACTGATCAAAACTATCTTGCATATCACATAATCTACTATCACTAAAGAAATGAATTTTGATCACAAAGTTCGAGTTATATTTTTGGTTATCATCACTAGTAATATTTGATAAATGTGATTATACTGACTAAGAATGATGTTGCTGTAAAAAGCAAACTTCTTTGATAAATTACATTCTATGATTACTCAGTATGAATTCTTAACCTCAAAAACAGTAAAGAAATTCAATGAGTTATAACAACTCTGGATGTGATTCAGACAAGGAATCAATAACTTCATGAATTAGTACGACGTTGTTCCTTGCCTATACCAAGTTTTTGTTAAACTAATTCCATTCCAGTTAACATTATGTTATCAAGGTAGGCACTAAGCTTTACAATTACCCCATATCATATTGAAATTCATATAGATATGAGCACATCTGGTCCGTTACGTCATTAATCACATTCATTACTTGCAGTGAACAAAATTGTACGATTAAAGTAAATTGTAAATCATGCTCGTAAGTTTATTTTATTTATTTAAACACATAAACATTGGTACAAGGAGGCACCAAATACATATGCGCCACATAAATCATTTGATTTATGTAAGGGCTAGGATACTGCCCAGTCACCCAAACCGAAGCAGGTGGTTTTCTTAGGAAGCCACACTCCGAGCCTTTGGCCTAAAGGTCTAATCCACGAGGTAGTAGACCACCATTAGGAGATGCGGTCTCATGGTAACCAGAGACTAACAACAGGTACATACGCCATTTGTTCCTTTAGGGTACTGGAGGCCATGTACACCATTGATTTGGAATCAGGGTTTTCCAACTTCCCTAGGTGGACTTTCCGTGTCCACCAACCCGTTTACAGCGCCACACATTCTGTTTTCGTCCTCTCTATTTCGTAAACAATACCCGTACCTCGAGAAGGCAGTGAGTTGGACTTCCCTGGCAGTGGCTGTATACGCGTACCTATGTGAGAGCACGTCGAGAGGGAGAGCTGACTCTCCCCATTCTCGGCCATACCAGGGCATTCGGGGGCTGCTCATAAATTAATTAAACACATGTAAATACCGAAGTATATTGTTAAAAAAAAGTGTTAAATATGAAATAACTGGAAATTTATGAAATATACATGAAACACTTAAACAAAACATAATACCAAATAATAACTTCACTAATTCTTACCTGAAGATGGACCACATTTTGGTGCTATTCTTAATAATTCCGGTTTATTTTTTAAATGTTCATCTGGATCTTTCATACTAATATCAATATTTGAAGCAATTGATCCACTTCTTTTACTTGGATGCATTGAATTTCGGCGTTTTAATTGATTTGTAGCAAATGCCGATGAGGATGATAATGAATTAGCTAATTTTTTCATTAGAAAAAAAAGAGTAAAATGATATGATGTTTAGGTGAGAATAATAATGATTGGTTAGTTGCTTAGTCAGACATGTAAATAGTCTGATGAGTTATATATTCCTCTATCCTCATTACTTATTATTGACTGATTGTTCATTGTTGTTGGATTGTATTGGGTTTTTGGTGTGGAAATATATTTACGTTCTAATCAGGCTAATCACGTGTTCTTGATCTGAGTTGTGTTAAAGTCCTATAGAATAGACACTGGGAAGGGAATCTAGTGTAGATATTCGCGTAAGGTAAATTAACAACCCATACGTGTAGACGAAGTAAAAGCAACCATAATAGCATGATAAATTAATGAATTTAAAATTACTACCTGTTAATTCACTATAAGCTCCAAGTACACTTCCATCCTTTTCTTCAATGACTCCATCTTCTTCATTTAAATTCTGTTGATAATAATCTTTAGTTAAATAATAATAATAGTAATAAAAATAAATATGATATTAATTAATCTACATATGTAATAACTGTTTGTGTATTACTGTAAATGTTATGGAAAGAGTGCTTTTCAATGATTTGATAGACTAGATTTATGATATAACAGATGAATGTCAATATTTCCTTTAATCCCACGATATATATTCAAACATTCAGTCACAACGTATGTACATCGGTTCCAATTGCCACACCCGTTAGCACACCAAATCACAGCATGGTAGACAACTAACAGTATCAGTGGTATTAGAAAACATTAGGCATTGAATACACGACTTGAAAATAGTATATAAATTAGTGAAATAAAAACAGAAAAAATTATAAGGAATTTACAATCTCAGGATTTACGAGAAGACAAAAAATGGATGCACCTGCTCTATTCCAAACGACTTTTAGCCATTCCATTCAAAGTCTCTAACCACTAGTCACAATAGTCAACCAAGTAGTCTACACTTATTAACAGAGTCAAGTCCGATTGTCAGTGACTTCATGGATTTATGTCATGTATTGGTTTGGCCACCCCAGGATTTCTTACATACTACCACTGGACTAGAAAACATCGTCCCGTCGAGGTAGACGGTGGTTGGGCATACGTAGCACGTGTCTTAACCACCTCAGTTGAATAAGATTTGCCACCTCACCAGGTGGTTTCCCGTCATTACCTAATAATCTATTTTTCATCCAGGCATTGTTTACCCTGTGGTCCAAAAATACACGAGCGATGCTTTGTAGACAGTTATGATCGAGTACTAGAAGCTTACGAATATCCTCTACTCTTGATGTTTTACATCTATAAAGTAGGACGAAGCAAACTGCTGTCAATCAACCAGTAGTGTTTGAGTAGAGAGCTTGTACAAGATTAATGTACTTCTTTGGTACGCCTTTCAATGACAGACATTGCCACAGAACCTCATGATCGACGAAGTAAAACGCCACCTTTAGGTCAAGAAATAAGACTATGGTAAGACGTCGAAAAGTATGTCTGTATTTCAGAATCTGCTGAAGGGTGAATATTTGGTCTATACATCCACGTTCACGTCTGAAAACGGCTTGGTTTCATCAGGTTTGCTCTTTACGAGCTCTAGTTAAATTTCGAAGTATTATTGGGGCTTGGATATATTTCTACCACTCGATAATAGGGCCGTGGATCTAGATTCCGTTACCACGAGGCTGGATACTCGAACAACAGACTATACACAGGCTGGATCACGTCATATCGGATAGGAATGGGCAATGCTTTACTCAACACTACTGTATACAGTCTTCACTAAGTAAATTCAGAGAAGTTTTGTAGCCTTGGTAGATGATTTTATTGGAGTTTTATTCTCTGAGTCGGATGGTTTGGTCGTGGAGCTTTCGTCGTTATTCTGAATGGCATCAGTAGCACAAACTTCAGACAGAAGTCAAATCGATCAACTGATCAGAAAAATTACGGACAAATATAGGACCAAAGATCAAATCAATAGGAGATACAAACAAAATAAAGAAGTAAACAACAACAGGTTAAAGGTCAACAAGAACTAATCAACATCGAGGTTTACAGGGCAAGCTGTGAGCCGTATGTGGAGAAATTCGAACACTTCACTTCTACCTGAAGTTTGTGCTGATGATGTCGTTCAGAAGAACGATGAAATCGCCATGAGCGAATCATCCAGCTCAGATAACAAAACTCCATCAAAATAAGTCCAGATAAGAAATCAATAATAGGAAAGAAAGTCAAACATTTAGTCGTCAGTAATCTGAGTGTCTGTTTGTCCATACTTAGCGGCCGATCACATTTACTTCAACTAGCTACACACCAGTCTAATTGTTAAGATGGATGAACAGTGTCTGCCGATAGATGAATACAGTGATATGATTAGTGCCTAGTTGATGACTGCTCATGTGACCGAATTAAAAATGTGAGCCAATGAGGGATTCGAAATTAAAAATAAGTTCACTAGATTATTCTGGCGTGTACTTAGTAGACTTAGCTGGATATTATATAACCACGACTGGAAGTTCTGGAGTCCATATAGAAGAATTTCCAGTGTATTCAACGCTGTCACTCGACCTTATTATATCGCTGCCTAAAAAAATTGTAATATTGTGTGAACTAAGATTTGCATTTGTGATGCAATTTTAGGACGTGTATTTGATTTTGCACTAATGATTTGTTGGTGGTGTTCACATATGAACTCATGAAGAAGTATTTTGATACATTTAAATTGTCGTTGCACCAACCGAGCCATAATGATTTCTAAGCATCCATAGTAACTGACATTATAACAATCAATTTTTTCTATCTTCGTCGTCGCTATGATGGTGTATACTTTATGATTTCGAGTGAATTTTTGGTTGCGAAAACCAACGGTCACAATATTGACTAACATATGATATACAGTGGTAGGATGTGTGCAGATGATGGCTATCCGCGCGACCAGATTAATGATGTAAGCCTCCAAATACGTCGAAATCAAGGACAAAACAACTAACAAGAAGAATAGGTATGTTACATAACAAAAATACATGCTTCTATATACAATATCAATGCGAAATAAGGACTGTGAATCGTTACATGTGTTTGGAGGGAATCAGTTAGTAGTTCGCTTGCTCTCTAATCAACTAACGCCTGACCGTTAGGTTTGATTTTGGGGAATCGTTTCAATCAAATCTGTTTAAGATATGGAACATCATGGTAGTAGAAGAATAAAAGTAGAGATCAAATTATGCAGGCAATTGTTTCTTGTGAATTAAGGTGCATGTATAATATACTCAAATTCGAACCAATCAATGGGTCCACAAGTTCTTTCCTTAACTATTTTACTTAGTACCATTTCAATATGTCAGCCAAGTGTTAGGTCTTATAGTCAACTTTTCGTTTCAGTGGCATGGCGGGTTACTTACTTAATTATGTCTGTTACCTCTCGAGGAGGAGCATAGACTACCAACCAGAATTCCTCAACTAACTCAGTTCTCTGCCTTTCGAGTTTTTTCCTGTTGTTGTTTATTCTTTTGATGCCTACTTCCGGTTCCCGAAACAGTGTTCATTTGTCTTCCACTTTTCCATTTCTCTTCAGGATTCCGAGTTAAAGCTTGCTTCGTGATGAAGTTTCATTATTTTCTTAATGTATGTCCTATCCACTTTCACCGCCTTTTCCTAATTGTCTCCCCAGCTGGAAGCTGGTCTGTTCTCTCCCATAATCGGCAGTGGCTGATGATAACCTGTCAACGGACATTGAGTATCTTGCGTAGACAACTGTTTATAAATACTTGTACCTTCTTGATGATGGTTGTAGAAGTTCTCCATATTTCAGCTTCATACTGTAGAACTGTCTTGACGTTCATATTAAGGATTCCGACGTTGATATTGGTTAACACTTGTTTTGAGTTCCATATGTTCTTCATTTGTAGGCATACTTCACACACTTTTTAATCAGTGCCTTCACATCTGCATCAGATCCTCCTTCTCCATCGATGAGGCTAACCAGGTACGTGAAAATGTTCACTTGCTGCAGAGGTTGCTGATGCGCTGGATGTCTTATTAGATGGTGAATGACCTAGAACAAATCTTACAAACGTGTGTTTCAAACGACTTTTAGTCATTTTTGGTTGTTTCGTTTGCATACATAAGTATATAAGTAAATATGTGAGTCGTTTCACTTGAAACGTTGATTGACAGCTACTTGTCTTCTGATACCAGTTTATTTGACAGATCTTATGAATAAATCGATCTCATGAACGTTTATTAGTTAACCGCATTCTGCTATTTTGAATCATCTATCGATCAGCACTCATATTCTAGCAACATTAAAATAAACTGCCAGACAAGTTAGTCAAAGCAATGAGAATTACATAAACAGTACAACTGATTTTATCAATTTTTTAGATTAATTAATAAAATTAACCTGGTTTAAAAATATTTACAGATATATTTAAAACAAGATAAAAAGAGGCTGCATACCAAACGGATTGTAACCATTATTCATCGGCTTTGTATTCAACACTGAGTTCGAAGGTGAACGTGACTGTCGAATTGGAGCAGGCACATGTAATGCATGATTGGCTACTTTCTTATACCACCGTTTCTTTTTCTTGTGCTCATCATTATTTGACGATAAACTTATAACACTTCCACTATAATTTAATGAGTTTGGTGTTGAACCTTTGTCTTTATGAAGATGTAAGCTAAAAATAAAGAAGCATTAGTAACAATAATGATTTAAAACCCATTAGAGCCCGTTTATTACCATTTTTTCAAAACTTGCTCGACAGCGAAATATAGAAACTGCATTGACTTTTCATACGACATAAGAATTAAACAATTTCAAGAGCTAACAGTTAATTTAATGTAGATAGTCAGTAGTGGTTAATGTAAAGTCGAGCACCAGTATATGTCACCCCAAGTCAACATATCAGAATCAAAATGAGGTGATAAAACTGAAAAGATGAATTGAAAGGAAGTCAAAATAATTTTAATAGTAGCGAAAGTCGGAAAGAATAAGTATTGGAAACATGGTTTGAGAAAGGATTTGATGTTTATGGAGGAATGCTATAACTTTGGAACTAAAAGAGGATGAAGACTGAGTACATTTGCAATTGTGGTAGATTATTAGCTATATTACTCAGAAGGGCTAATCACTGGTCGCGGTTATGGCGTGGATCCCAACCACGTAACATGTACTTAGTATCACGAGTCATTCCAATACTCATAGATTTCGTAGATTTCATATCAGAGATTCTTCTTGTAAATTCATGGCTTGTGCTAAAGAACATCTAAGCTACACAAAATGTTCTCCAAACAGTCCTGTAGAACTAGAAAACTAGCAAACCCTACTGTTCTTAAAAGAAAAGGCCTCACAATCCGCCCAACATGAACCGTTCATCGCTGCACAATCGTGTTGCAACTAACACTTTTACGGCTTTGTATGACAAATAATTATATGTTTCTTCAAGAGAAATATACTTATATTTTCTAAAGAATAAGTGTTTAGTCTATTTGAATTAAGACAATGAAAAAGAGCAAAGTATCAACTATTTTTATCTCAAAAATAGGAGTGTCGAATGAAGTCAAAACCCCATCGCACTATGAGGTTTGACAATAGGAACCAAATAAACCACAATTCACGAAGCACGATTATCATATAAAATTCAATTCCATTAGCGAATGGGAGCTCACCTCGACAAGCTTAAGATCGACCCCATGGTGCTCCTACTTTTAGATTCCTCGCTACGGTACTCTTCCACCCAAATCCAGAAATAAAGTCTTCCAAAGCCAATCTCCGTCTTTTTAGTTTGTTCCATCTCCATGATGCATAATCGGGAATTATCCGTAAGACTAACAGAAGGATCTGTCGGTTTTGGCGGGATTGTAACTCCGGGTACGACTACCTGACCGACATGATTATCTTCAGAATCGGAAACTAAGAGGACAACTGGATCACCCCTAATTGCAATTTTACTACACAGTGTATTAAAAATTTAGAGGCTTACAATGTAGTTTCAAAGTTCCAAACAGGATTACCATCCGGTGCATAGATACACTCTGTACTAATTTTCTTTTTTCCACCTAGAACAACGCATTTCCATTTCTGGCTAACTTTTTCTGTCACAAAAATTACTTCAAGTTATGTAGTCAATCTACTTTGTTTATGATCAGAACGTGGTGCGACACGTAGATTCTCAGCCTTGTACACTGATAAAATTTTGTCAAAAAGCTCAGCAAACTAACCTCTGACAGTGACTTCTTTAGGATGTCGGATGTTTGAAGCTAACATGTCATCAGGAAAATATTTTGAAAGTTCTCCAGATTTATTGCTACGACGAAGGCAAAAAGAGGAGGTTCTAAACAAATAATGAGAAAGCAATTAGATAAAGTTAACGTTTCTTTCTCTTGTTTAAAGTTTAATTTACCATGTTTAAAGGAAAAAGTAAGTGGTGGGTTTGCTTCATAAAGTAGTCTATACAAGCACAGACCTCTTATATTCAGATTCAGATTTGTGTAGTAAGGACAGAAGGCCTACGGCCTATGTTATTCCTTTTCTAGTATGCTTCTGTGAGTGTCCAGTCTTCTCTTGAAAGAGTCAATTGAAGGTGCGGACACCACTGCTTCAGGCAGCAGGTTCCAAGTATTGATGACTCGGTGTGAAAACCTGAATGACACGGGTATTTTGTTCGTTCTTGGCTTTTCTACTCGCCTGCTATGTCCTCTGCGGTGTCCCGATCTAGTGGGAAGAAAGAGAGAGAATAAGTTAGGTCCGAAATCATTTCTCAGTATTCTGTACATCAATATTAGATCTCCCCTTAGTCTGCGATAGGACAGAGTAAAGAGGTTCAGTTTTTCAAGCCGCTCTTTATATGATAAACACCGGAGTTCCGGAATTGCACGCGTAGCTTCAATCTGTACTTTTTCTAGTATGTCTGAGTCACCTTTTAAACAGGGGCTTGCAGCCTGAACACAGTTCTCTAACTTAGTTCTCACTAAGGATGTGTATAATGTGGTGAACATGGTAGTATCAAACTTAGGGAATGTCCTTCTTAAAGCCCAGAGGGTTCGAAACCCCTTGGCTTCGACCTCATGGCAATGGGCCGTCGTCTTAAGATCATGACTCACTGTCACCCCTAGGTCCTTATGACACCGGACTACGGGTAATGACACATCCCCTATGTTGTACGTATTAACCTTCGAATCCCCCAAATGCATGTAGACACACTTTCCGAGTTGACAGGCATCAGCCACTCTTTAGACCAGTTTATCATATCATTTAAGTCCGCCTGAAGAGTAAGTGCGTCTTTGTCTCCAGTTATTACTCGCCAAATTTTTACATCATCAGCGTATAATAACATTGGAGACTGTACTATACTTGTAAGATCATTAACGTACATTATAAAAAGTAAAGGACCTAAGACGGAACCGTGGGGTACTTCACTAAGTACTGCTCTCTAGATGGAGCACTTGGAATTTACTCTTACTTTTTGCCTACGGCCTACTAGGAAATCCTTAATCCATTTTAAAAGAGGTCCGACAATACCAAGGTTTGCCAACTTTAATAACAATCTATTAGTTGACACCTTGTCAAAAGCCTTACTGAAGTCTACGTAGACAACATCCACTGAGTTTCCGTTGTCTAGCGCATTAATCCAGAGCTCCCTAGCTATAAGGAGGTTAGTTGTGCATGATAGACCCTTTCTAAAACCATGTTGTGCCATGTTCAGCAAGTTATTGGTTTCCATAAATGCCGTTATGGTCCGTTTGATTATTCTTTCCAGTATTTTAATTACAACACTGGTGAGGCTTACGGGTCTGTAATTCGAAGGAACTTGTTGTGGACTTGTTTTATGTATGGGAATGACGATTGCGTCCTTCCAGTCCATAGGTAACACACCTTGGCCAAGTGACATATTGAATATCACAATCAGAGGGGCTGCGATATATTGGCCAATATGTCTCAAGATTTTGGGGTGTAGTTCATCTGGTCCTGTTGACTTTTCCATGTTTAGGGTGCTAAGAGCCTTAAGCACATCGTTGTGGTCGAAGTCTACGGTGAGCAGCTGGTTTGTTGACTCTGTAATTGAGTTTGGTTCTTTCTCTAGAGGAGGTTCCTGAGTGAAAACTGCCGCAAAGTAGTCAGCCATAACCTCAGCTTTTTCCTGATCTTCCTCTATCATTTCAGATTCACTTCCTACTTAAATTAGATTGAGAATCCAATGATGCATCCTTGTTCCGTAGTTTATGTGTGAGAATATTCTCTAGGGCTGCTTGAGTGCAGATTCTGCCAGCTGCATTTCATATTTTCTTCGGGCTTCACGAATTTCAGTTATACACACGTTTCTTATCGATCTGTAGTGTTCCATCGTACCTGCTGTGCCAAGGAGGATGGCAACATCCCAGCATTTCTTCTTTTGTCTTAGTAAGCGTCGAATATCCCGCCCTAACCAGGGATGTCCGTGCTTCTTTTTCTTTGGGACAGTCCAGGGTATATATGGTTGAGTTACCCGATTGTATAACTGTCTGAATAGAGTCCATGCCTCTTGTACTGATGCCTTTGAGTCAATTTCCCAGTTCTCAGCCGATGCTGCGGAGTTAATTGCCCCCATATCTGCCTTCCATATGTTAGGACGGGCCGGCGCAATTGTTTGACAAGCAATCTCAGCCATGAATGTGAATAAGATGGTCACTTCTCCCAAGTGGTGGGAGAAAAGCCGTTTGACCAACATCATCACCGTGCGTGAAGACTAAATCTAAAAGAGAAGAAGATTTTCTTAAGTCGTATCTTGTGGGATCTCTAATCTGTTGGAATAATGCTAGTCCAATCGAGGTTTCTAACAGTTTGGAGTCGAACGAAGATATAGATGACTCTACTTCTAAGTTAACCCAGTTTATATATGGTGCATTAAAGTCGCCTACTACAAGGCTTTTACCGTTGTTACACCAGGAGTTAAGTTTACTGAGAAGAAAATCATCTGCTACACATTCTGGACTGCGATAAACTACAACTACTTCAATATCTTGCCTTCGGCATTTTAACTTACATCTCACCAGTTCACACGTCCCTGAAACATGTGCTACTGTCTCAGCTAATCTTATGGTAAGGGTACTTCTCGTGTACAGAATAACCCCGCCTTCCCGTCGGTTTAATCTATCAGCCCTACTGGTTATGAAACCAGTCAATTGGATTTCACTATCTAATACTTCTGACGTTAACCAAGTTTCCGAGACAGCGAAAACGTCCGGTTTTTCTTTATCCACCACTGACTTCAGCTCCGCCATTTTATATAGTAGGCTGCGAGCATTTGTGTAGCACACTTTTAAGTCTGTGGAGAGCTTTCCCTTGCCACCCAAGGTGGCTTGGGGATCGTTTTGCTCCGAACTTTTACAATCTGAAAACCCTTAAGAACGAGGTTTCTTTCACCGTTTCGGCGACGCTCATTTATTTCCGCTTCTGCAGCTCTTCTCTTAATACGATCAGCTAGGCTGAGGTCCTCACGGACATATATTCCGGATCCAACCAGTTTACGTGAATTACTTAGAATCAGGTTCCTTTCTTCCACCGTGTTGAATATAACCTTTAGGAGGCGGTTTTTCTGAGGACTTTCGGAATCCCCCTTTTTTCCTATTCTATAAAGCCTACAAATACTAACTCCTGAAACTGTATCTGGGAGTAGTTTACTTAATGATGTCTTAATATGATTGAGATCATGTTCAAATCTTGCTTTTGGTTCAGTATCTGAAGATTCTCTTATCTTATGAAAAATGACTGATCTATCAGAGAGATCTGTCTTGTCACACGGTGAGGATTTTTCTTCTGATAACATCCCTTCCAATGTCTTGCTGACCAGCTGCGTTTTGCCTACAGCCGTTTTCTTCTTATAATTTTTTCTTACCGAAGTCCATTATAGTGTATTACTAATTATTTTCAGTAACTGATGCGATAAAGTATTCAAAATGTTGTTTGTACGAGAAAATTCAGGGAATTATCAGTTCTAAAAATAGAGGAAAGAGGGGATGCAGACGATATAGGCTGCAAACATGCCATAGTGACAAACAATCTCATTCTACTTACTCAGAATTAATAGTGCTACCAAGGCTGGCCCTAAATACATCACTGCTGAAGTTGCCTTGACCACAATCGATTGAATCCCAGGAGAATACACAATTTTTTATCCTCCTCTCTTTATCATGGATTTAACCTGGCATTCCTGCCAGTTTTCAGACGTCATGTGTTTGACAAAGCCTAATACAACCTAATGCACTACACCGCAGCGATCGTTATCCCGTTTTTAATAAAAAGACAAAGGAGACACGTTTTAATAGAACTATGAGTGTTCTCAACATGTCCAAAACATCTCTGTACTAAATATAGGTTTCTCTGTTTTTTGTTATTTGAAAAGTCGATGTCGCATTTAAGTTATTGTTGTATTCAAAGGAATCTAATTGAAATTTCATACATATTTATGTATTTTTGCTTGAATAAGACGTTTAGACATGGTAAACACTTTGACGTCAATTGACAAAGAATTTGCTTTCCGCCGTTCTGCAAAACTTGTACATGCTTGTGGAATTCTTTTCTCGGCTCTACCGACATTATCCTTTGTATTTAGGTTGACTGGAAACAAGGGAGACAAGTCATAATAGCGGACATTGAGATGGCTCTAAATATGACAAAGTAGATAACTAGATGAAAATATCCGGTTGGTCACTTTGAAGAGTCTCTAAATTCATACTACCTGGAGTGGATTGTTGTGGGATAAGACCTTCTTAAAAATAAATAAATCTTCCGATTTCTTGTATATACGAGCCAGGGAGTCTCGGTCAGATACTACGACGATATTATAATATATCCTTTAACAGGACTCTACTAAAGAGAGTTTTTTTAATTATTATACCCTACTATTTATGCTAGTGTATAATTATGCGTATTCTCTCAACTGTTATCGTCCTCTCTGCTTGACTAAGGTATATGTAGATCAGTAATATATAGCTCTGTTGTCTTGAGCTGTTTAGACGGAACACAAAGAAAACCAGAGCATTTTTGGACGCTTGGTAATATGGTCAAACATCAGTCAATAAGCAATATGAAATCGACCAAGTCTGTTATTCAACAGGAAAGAGGATTAACAACTTTATGGCCAGAATTCAGGTAATATAATATAATTTATTTCTGCAGAGACAGGTACACGCCATTTCTACAGGCGTGCACTACAAATTACAACATTTGTCGTTTCACAGTATGCACGTTAAATAAATATAGTCTATAAAAGTGAATATCACTTCATTCCTCCAGAGATACTGAGTAATCTTCAATCTCCAAAGTGGCGTCGCATCCACATTATATATCGGATCCACTCTCGGGATAGTTGTGTTAGGATTTTAGTAGTGCTACGTATTTATGCAATGCAACTTTTAAAGTTCATAGTTGTTATAAGGTAGACATGTTGAGAGCTTGGTGTGAACTGTGACCTTGGAAATACACGTAAGTCTAGTTTGTTTTACATG